CATCAAAGAATACTACTCTTCTTTGTATATCACTGACTATCGTTTGAGATCCACGAGTTACCCTCGCTCTCGTTATTCATCATTCTTAGGGGATTATCCGATAATCGTTTTAAGTTACACTTTGAATACTTTTGCCTCATGGGTATAGTTCCTTCGTAACTTATAATAAATTTTAAAGTTATTTACTGAACCAGAAACTATAATAGGAGCTATTCTAGCACCAGTAATCTATATGTCCTTTACAACTTTCGAATCCCTCCCCCATCAGTAWTACAAGTATTACCGCGATTGCCCAACCTGTCTCACATCAATTTTCCCGCCATTCTTTCCTAAATCTACGGAGAACCGCTAGCCTGCGTGATGACCGTTTTTTCCTTCTTTTAGAAAGAACGGTCTACCTGTAGGCTAGGAACAACTGGTGTCCAACTATACAACCCTTTTCACATCTCGCAATCTAGTGATTGTTTTTTCTTGACTATCAATTTCAGGAATCTATACGTAATGCTCAACCTAAAAATGTGTTTTCATAACTTAACCAGTTATACTGGTTTATAATATATATATGCAAAATATGTAAAATAATTCTAGATCTGTTCTTGCAATAAAATAAATTTATATATAATATATTAATCATATATTAAAAGATTTGATGAATTTTGAGTCAAACAAACAGCTATGTCACAGTAATCGAGCTGAACATCAAACATAAAAACCACAGATATTTCACAAAATATCATGAAACTCTAAAAATCTATACTTACAAATATAAAACAAACGAAATGAAAAGCTTCAATAGTCATTTCTATTAATGTGGCCGCCATTTTGAAAACATTGTACCGCATTACTACAAAGGTCTATTGAATCACCATCATATGCGTGATTGACACCTGTCAGGGTTGATAAAATAAATTTACCCATGATGCTTTTAGGTTTTTAAGCATTTCTTTTGTAACATTATCTTCATTTCAACACAAAACAATAAAATTCTAAAAAGAAAAAAAAAAAATAAATTACCTATGCTACAATAAAATACCTATCCTACAGACAACAAAATGGCGGAAAATTTTATAATCTTAATTAAAACTTAAAAAAGCTTTAAGCTTATTTTTTTTACAAACCAATARATTACGTTAGCCATGTGYGATGAAGCCTTTCGYTGACGTCATCCAACATGGCCGCCACGAGGCACAGAATAACTTATCGAAGAAATAAATAAATTACCGATTAGAGTAAACGATTCAAACCTTAAAATCAGARAATGCCTCTTTAACTTGCTTTATCAGAGAGGAGCTGTTGACTGGATTTTTCAGCATTCGTTCCTGGAGTACCTCAATGTAACGATCAACAGAGTCAAAATTCAACTTGACGTCCATGTCAGGAATRTCGATGCTGGAGAGACTAGCAATGAATCTTGATTGTAGAACTGCTAGCTTTGTGGCTAACATGCCGTTTCTGTGACGATCTATGTTCATATCATCTTGACTTGAATTGAGTTTCTTTTCCATTCTTCGTACCTCGTTATCTATTTCTTCGTTCACTCGCTCGGATTCCTCGATAGACGTTCGTAGTACTCCGATCTCCTTATCGAGCTGTCGGATTTCTTCGTATTCCTGTCGGCCTATCGGATATAAATCGGGTGAGGATTGTTTTACTAATATTTTCTTGTCAATAGGCTGTGTTTTGTCAAAGGCAAATAAATGACAAATGAATGAATATTGATATATCTTAGACTTACTTCGTCCTGATCGTAGTTTGACAACTTGTTGTTTATCCTCGGAGTTCCTAAAGTGTGCCTTTGCCTGGGCGAATAGTTTTGTTTCTGCTTCTTGTCTCATCAATACCTTCTTTTCTGACGGCGACACCAAAGGGCAACCAGATAAACTAAAAGAAAACATACCACTAAAGTTAGACCAAGTCAAAGATACCACAACATAAGACTATGCTTTAAAAAAGTGTTTTGATGACGTCATACTTTATATTCGTTCCCGTCATGCACAGGGAAGATGTGAGTTTAAAACAGTTGTGATTAAAGAATAGTGCAGGATAAAACAACAACAATGTACTAACAAGAGTCACCAGCCAAGCGGCTTAATGTCAACCATTATTCTGGATGAAAAATCTGATAATGTGAAAAGTTTGCATTCATTGCCAATACCGTTCTTTTTCACAAAKAATTACACCAGCAACAAACTGATCATTCAAATAAAATAGCATACCTTCTGTGAGAACTAAACTGACCACTTGCATGTCCTGACCCATCACATCCTGGAGTTGGACACCTGATAATAAAACAACTGACTTAGAGTCTTACTGCAACTTATCGTTATATAACAACTATACTTACGTTGGACCAACTTTGTCGGCACCTGCCAAGCTTCCTTTGCCTGCTGTAAAAATACAAACACCGAATCAGAATAAGACAATTAATCAGACCATTGCGAATTAAGGTAGTTCGGGAGCCTTGTCACTGCGCATGGGTCACACACACACTTTGTGCAAGAACATTAGAACTGACAGTGAGGAATCTGAGCCCTATTACACTAAGCAGAAAGATTGTAAAATTGATTGTGAAAACGTTTGGAAGGAAAATTGAGCTGAAATTCAGTCGACTGATATTAAATRAAACGGTAATTGAGCCTGTAGGTAGTTCATTAAAATATCCAACMATTTGRAGACCAMTGGCTTGAGAATGGTGAGCAATGTCCACCTAGATCAGCAGGTCATAATTGTGTATACTTATTTCTTGACCATCAAAAAATATACACTCAAAGAWAGAATTCAAGATGACTACTCACTTGGGTCGGTACCAGAAGCTGCAAGTTTTGGAGCCAGCGGACATCCAGATAAACTACAGGTAATAAAACTATATTTAGCTTAAAGAATCACAACCAACCGCCGTACATTGCGAGCCGAAGCGGATTCGTAGGATTTCTTAAAAGTTAGTGCGAATGTCTTCCATCCTTTCAGTTTGGACAGAAATACCTTTAACTAAGCACCTAGCATATACTATCAATCTATAGATCTATTGTATGCTTGACGCATTTTAACGTATGTAAACAATAACACAAGCGCGCGATGTATTGTGGTTGGTTGGAATTCTTTAACAAAAACATGGGCAACAGAATTTTCGTCGGCTGAATTATCCTTAATTGGACATCAGTACTTCGTATGAAAATAAGAAACTTACTTAAGGATAAATACATAACTCGAATAAACAATTGATAAAAGGTGAAATATGAAATAGTCAGTCTGTACCTCCGGTGCGAGGAGTACTTTCCTGTAATGTGACCAGAACCATCGCATCCAATAGTTGGACATCTAAGGACAAGAATGACCGTTATTATAATTATTACTATCACCTTTGATATTTATTAATATAATCATGATCGTTTGAAATACATGAATCAAAGTCGTCCTCGGAAAACCAGGGTCTTTTGAATGGGGCTTCGGAAGAACTCCTGGGTTACTGAGGATGACATGCAGCACCCTTACTTGACTTCCTGGCTCTCCTGTTGAGAAAGCTTGGCCGCTAATGGACACCCTGATAAACTAAACAAAACAATCGGTAAGTAATTAAAACACGATCACTCAACTAACTAATCAATCAAAAATTAATCAATTACATGTAACAGATCAATCAATCAACCAATCCAATTATCACCCGATCCAAATCACCGAGCATCTTTCAATGAACCATCGATCAACAAATCATGTAAAAAAGGTAACGAACCCTATGCTTTTGCTGAGATGGTGTTCCCAATGAAGAAGTRAAAGAAAAAAGAAAAGTGGAAAAAACTGAGTTAAAACATAGGAAAATGCCAGAAAAAAAGGCCGCCCCCAGTCTCCACGTTCCCTGATGGAGAAWCAACGTCCAAAACATCGCCAAATTTTTTGTTTATTTTTTTTTCGTTGTGAATCGACCGAAAAAAGAAGCACAGCAAAAGCACAAGTTATTTCATTACYTGACAGACTTACCTCCTGTGTGACGCATACTGTCCAGACACGTGACCTGTGCCGTCACACCCTGGTGTTGGACATCTGTGAAAGCAAGAAAGGAGAATTTRGTTAYTGATGTTAAAATTATCTTAATATTTTCTCCTCTCTCAAGAGAATGGGATACTAATCCAAGCAAAAAACTCCATTCCCTTGATCTGGCCAATCATGGCTTTAGTTTCTATTTCCGGTCATYMCGGAAYAGCAGGAAGTTGCCAGAGCGACAAACAACTTCRTTTGTTTTAAAAACAACTGAAACGTCTTCAGCATGTGGGTCAGTGAAGTTTGTGTCACAAATAATGAAGAAAATCAAGAATGGACGATGTAAATAGACTTACGATAAAAGCTGTTTAACTTTGCCGTCAGCACCTGGTGAACGAACCGATAAATCGGCTATAAATAAATGCATTAATCAATAAACGTACAAATGAATGCGATAACTAAATGGTTATAAATACACGCAATGATCAATGGACGTACAAATGCGATAAATCGGTTATACATAAGAGCGATTTGATCAAAAACGTATAAAGGTACGAARATAAACAACAAATCGATAAACCAATACACTGATACACAGACGGATAAATTAGGATGGGTKAATGAATGAATGAAATACTAAATGGAAAAATGACTAAACTCCCTTACCTATTTCATTTCTTGTAGGATTTTTTAGAGTCGGTACAAGCTTGACAGCCCTTGGACACCCAGATAACCTAAAAACAGATGGATGGAATTAATAATGTTTCCAACTCCCCATCCTCTACCCCCAAAGGCTGTAGATATTAAGGGAAGCTTGCCAACCTTCGATGTGATGAAAATCGGCCATTCACGTGTCCGCTGCCATCGCATTCTGGGGTTGGACACCTGGAGAAAACAACAAACATCCACATTTTAGAAACTCATTGTTTACTACATGAAAAACGATAATGAATTCGTCCATACGAGCGACCGCTGTTTAAGTACACAACAGACTCACTTGCGCTGAAAACTAAAGAAGGCACGAAAAAATGTTGGCATTACAATAGCTCAAAAAATTTGAATCTTCTCCGATAGACCCCTTGCATGTGACGTCAAAGCAGCTTCATCTGGAGGACAAAACAAAAGATTTTTAACCTCTTGGGAACTAGAATCCATTGTTTTGTCCTCCAGTTGGAGCTGCATTCCCATGAACTGCAAGGGGTCTATTTGAGGCTAAACCTGTATTCCCACAAGACCTAGTCGGAGTTTGAGCCTTCTGGGAATGCAGCATTAGCCTCAAATCGGAGAAAATGCAAATTTGTAGGGTTATTGTGTATTGTGCAACATTTTTTCATGCATGAGAGACTGTTGTTAACTAAACTTGAACAGCGGTTGCTCGCTTTTAACTGGAAAAAGAGTATTAAAACCGTTGAATGCCTAATGCCCGGGGAATATCCCGGGGGAATTAACATTCGAACAATCTAAAAAGTCCCGGATATTGCCGCCTCTTCAGACACACGTGAAAAAAGGCGGCTAAAAAGATCATTGTCTTTGACTTAGATGCTAATTCCACCGCCTCCCTATGGGTTGATGCTGTTTAAACAGTATTAAATTTCCGTCTATAATGTGGGTTGGGGGACTTGGGTTTTCTATTTTTTGATGCAGAAACACGATAACGAGTTTTTGTGAAATAAATGAAACGAAATGAATGTTTTGCCATGCGTTTGCTATGACCGACTTCCAAGACTGCTGTCAATCAATTAAAAGATTTATTTCTGAACGATAAATCACATTTCTTTGTTGTCTTTTTGATCCTGTTATAATCTGCTATCAGCTGGTTTAAAATTACTCCGCAATATTTTAAAAATCGTTGCATGCCTCCTTTGCTTTTCACGACTGTAAATGGCTTAGTAGGTTTATTCTTAGACACTAAAGTAAAGCCCACGTTGGTAATCGTGATCAGGTTAGAAGTGTACCCCCACGAACGGCAATGATTGATTGAGTAAAACGATGAGGGCACTGAAACATAATTATCATACCAAAGTAGATAAACTTCCAACATGAGAAACTCAGAGTCCATTTTTTCAAATAACAACAAAAATAATATTTATAATTAACATCATAGCTCATAAATTCGTAACATAGTTTTCGAATTGTGAAGACTAAATTTGAACAATCACTATCAAATTCAAAAAACGAAAAAAAAAAAAGAAAATTGTGAGAAAATTTAAGATGAGTTTATCGTTAAAGTTTATCTTTCCCAAACTATAAATATCACGACCAATGCTAGAGCATTTAGAGTAGATTACATTCATTTATTGTATAGTTTTAAGTTTCAATTCATTCATTCGAGTCCATTTACTAATGCTTCTTAGGATTATATTGTTAATAATACAAACATCGAACATATCGTCTTATACGATCTTTTTTACGATCATTTTGTTTAGTTTTTAAACGAATATAAAAATAAATATAAAACTATAACAAATAAGCTGTTGGTAAAAACGTCGACCCAAATTGATGATAAAAAAATAATAATAATTGGCTTAATCAATAATTGATTTAAAATTAAACACAAATTGGTTCGTGCCATTAATGCCGAAAATGTTGCCATAAATAATAAAGTTGAAATTTTACATCATTGTCAATAATGTTGTCAACGGATGTATCAAATCAACTTATAAATAAAGAAAGCATATTATACGCGAACAGGTTCAAAATATCTGAGCAATAAAGATAAAATTAATCCTGAAAAACACTAAGTACAGCGTAATGACACTATGACGTCATAAAAGCGCATCCCCTTCCGGCCCCACTTATGTCAACGTGCCAAATATGGCAACACATACCCATTGGCTTGTCTCATTGACGGCGAATCTACGAGTGAAGACAACATATAAACCAGTTAGAAAACCAAACAAAAAATTTCCCTAGATAGGTTAACGATAGATCAGGTCTCTAGATGTAAAATGTACTTATTGCAACGTAAGTTTTGAGAAAATGCGATCTTTAGAAATGGAAGTTTTTTTCATCAGTATTTTTTTACAGAAATTATCAACGAATTTCTTCCAGACAAAGCAATTCTATTCAATTCGAAATGTTAGAAAGCAAATGAAGATATTATCTTCTATATCAAAACAAAGTTTTTTTATATCTTTCCTCGTTTTCATTAAGCAAATACAAGCATTTTGAAGCAAAGCAAGTTCTTTTAACATCTATGATATTTTACCTGGGTCGGAGAGAAACAATTCATCTCCATCACGGAAATCTTCATCATCTGACGAACTCGTTTCCATATCTTCATCATCATACATGTCAGAATCCTCTTTGGCTTTGCAAACACGTTTAACTCTGCCACCTCCAACATTCACCTCTGGAAAAGCCGCAGTTTGCGAACTCGTTGGCGGAGATGACGTCACGGGAGAATCTTCGGGGGTTCGCATCATTAACGTCGAAGGGCTGCTGACGATTGTTGTCAAGGGTGGTGGCGTGGACATCACCTTGGAAACACTGCCAGTGCCGACTAAAATATCCATTGTAGTCATCGGTACTGAGGTAGTTGCTATGGTTACTATCGGCGTAAACTTTGGTACAACTGGTGAATTGACAGGGGAGGGGAGGTTCGAATCGTTGTTGGTTACAGAAGTAGGGACGTCTGTTGATACTGATCCGCTTACTACAGCATTAGCAACAGCAACAGCTGCTGTAGCGGTGATAACACTGGGTAGTGACGACGAGGACGATGGTACTGGCATAGGTGCAATGATAGGAATTTTAAGTTTAGTAGGTGAAGTCACTAGAGTTGTTTTAGGGAAAGGAAATCTTGTGGGACTGTCTTTTGCTTCAAGTCGAGGTAGAAGGTCTTTCTTAGCAGGATTGTCGTGGTCTGAGCTGGAACTTGAACCAGACGAGATCGCTGAGTCAGGCGAAGTAGGACTTCCGTGAGGAGACGTCTTTACTTCAAGTTTTCCGTACTTTGGAGGTCGTCCTGCGATTAATAGGGTCAGACAGCTCGTTAATAGAAAACTGTATTTTTAATTGTCTCACAAAACCATTTTCATAATATCATAATTTTGCCGAGTCAGAAAAATCCCATAAGAGGTTATACTAAACTAATATTAAAATCAATCAGATTTGTGGTAACAAAATACGGGAGAATTGCGTAAACATACCTCTTCTTTGATTGGGCGTCCCCGGTGGACTTGTACACTGTCTTGTTATCTGTTTATGGGCAGCAGCAATAGGACAGCCACTTAAACTACAATGAAAAAAATTTTACTAAACGACTACAGCTCAGCTATGGTGGATATTTTATTCGATTAAAAAGTGGTATACCGCTCGCCTATCAACGCATTGCTTCGTGTCCGAGCTACACGTGAATTGAGCTTGTTTGCGTTCTGTCTACTCGTAGGAGTGTCTTCACAGTCTCCTATTATTTTCTATGTTCTAATTTTCTCACCCCTCACCTTTTGGAAATTTCAAATCATCTCATTCATTTCTTCACTTATATTTCTTCATTTTTTCTTAATTTCTTTTTCATTTGCTTTTTTTCGCTTTTTATTCATTTATTTGCCATCAGTTAGTATGATGGAGTAAAACGCCGCCTATAAAAACCTGAAATTTGCTGAAACGTTCTATTTTGAGCACCCTTCACACAAGAACCATTTCGGCCTGAAATGCCAAAGTAGGTTCTTAATTTCCAAATATTAAGTCAATCTGTTTTATCTTCTTATTAATAATAAAATATAGCACTCTGTGAATCCATTCGCTCGCTATTATATCCCATGTACATTGTAGCTTGAATGAAAATGTGCGAATAATTTTATATATATTGCCACATCAGCTAACACAAGTACTTTTTTAGTTAACAAAAGCTATTAAGAACCCCATCAAAGAACCTAGAGAGCCTGATTTCAAATTGAGCACCATTCATATAAAAACCTATTCATGCTGAGGTTCTTATCCGCGGGGTTTTACATTAATAATTAATTCACTCCTGCACTTCATTCATTGGTCATAGTGATTACCTTCTGTGAGACGTATATAAACCAGTTCTATGACCTGTGCCATCACAGCCTGGCGTTGGACATCTGAAATACAAACCATAATTACACTTAAGTAGGAGAACTTCTTACCAAAGCGGGTAGTCAAGGATAATCGAAATCCCTATGGGATATTTGTCACGATATCATTGTCTTGGAATTCTTTTTACCTGACACTATTCTCGTCTGAGTTTCCTCGACCTGAAATCAAATATCGCATAGATTTTGTTAAGTTTGATGAAATAGTTGAAAGTCTTGTAAAAAGTCACAATATAACGTAAGTAGCAACTGTCGGTCAATCAACTCTAAATAAATAAACACACAAACAACAACAACCTTAATAACAACGACGACAACAACATCAACAACAAAGACAAGAACAAGAACAATAACAGCAACAACGACATCATCAAGAACAACAACACAACTACAACTCTAAAGAAATAAACACAACCATAATAACGACGACAACAACGACGACAACAAGAAAGACAAGAACAACGACAACAACAGCAACGACGACGTCATCAACAACAACACAACTACAACTCTAAAACAATAAACACAACCATAATAACGACGACGACAACACCAACAACAAAGAAAACAACAACGACAAGAACAACATTAACACCGACGTCAACAACAAAGACGAAAACAACAACGACTAGAACAACACAACAACAACTCAAACAAATAAATAACATTAAAAGAGGAAAATGAAAACAAAATAAAAACGATGCAGTGAAAAAGAAGAATGAAGGATGGAAATGAACTGAAAGAACTAAAAGAACAAATAAGAGAAGGAATGAAGCATGTCATTACAAATTCAGCTTTCCACTAGATCAAATTCATAAAAATATATCCCTTTGTTTCAGATCTCAATGAATCTTTTAACTGCGGACATATTTACAAAACGCGCAAGTCATCATGCACTTCTTAACAAAACATGCGCTACATCGTCTGCTTATACTGTCAGTTGTTTCCTGATTGTAAAACATAAAGGCCAAGTAGTTCACTTACCGTCTTTATCTTTGTCTGAGAAGAGCCTTCTTGGACAGCCGTACAAACTAAAGAAGAGGTTGAACATTTAGTTCGAAAATGTAAAAGAATGGATTTAAAGATTTCAGAAGTGATTGTTACATACCTTCTGTGAGATGCAAAGAGACCAGACTTGTGTCCCGAACCATCACACCCTGGAGTAGGACATCTAGAAATATCAAGAAATTGGTAAACCAAACAGAAAAACTACAGATATAGATACAAACCACTGAGCTAGCAAATCAGATTATTCAACAAACTACACAATTGCACTAACAAAAATCAACAAAAAATCAACCCAAAAAATCAAAAAATCAACCCAACCACCCACCAACAAACCAAAAACAAACAAAAGCAACCTGCTAAAACGCTAATACTAAGCACATTAACAACCAGCAAAACATAAACTAAGCAATACTACTAATCACGCATACACACAAAGAAACAGCCAAACACAAACATAAACAACAARAAAAATAYTAATAAATATCGTGATCATATTTTCATATTCCTCACCTAACACCTTCAGAGTCACCATCTGACTTGTCTGTTGAGAAGAAGAATTTCTTTAGAATTTATTAAACAATATTACAGCAACGTCTGGTAGACTAGACTAGCATGAAAAGAGTAGATTGGGTTTGTTCAGATGRMATTTTGTTTGCATTGGCAAGGTTATTAGGTGTATATTTCTGTAATGATGTTGTAGTAGTCTCATTTGGAGGCAGCCAACTCAATCTGGATTCCRCTATCAGTAAATGTAGCAAGAGTAATCTGAGGGGGGAGGGGTGAAGAAAACTTACCTTCAGAGTCCTTTCTCATTCGTCTTGCAGATTTGTTAGCATAAGGACACCCATAAACACTGAAAAATTTAAAAAAATTTAAAGTCAATTACTTTCTTTTTTCATTTTCTCATTCATTCATCCATCRATTTATTCATTTATTCAACTTATTGTGAATTGAAGCACTCTCATTCAATATCAACCTTAAATATTTTGTTCACTCATCCATCAAACATTCCATTCAATTATTCTCCAAAATAACGCCAATACAACATCCTTTGACAGCCACTCCTCCCTACCACTCCTCCCTGGGTGACAATAACTCCCCAAGGTACTCTCTATGAGTAGAAATTTGTACCTGCGATGTGAAGAAAATCTACCATTGATATGGCCTTTACCATCACATCCTAGTGTTGGACACCTGGCATTGAAAACAATTCCCAATTAAAGAATAGTTCATTAACAATTTACTCCAAAAGAATATTGAATGGAAATACTATAATATTAAAATTTGAATATGACTAATTGTAAAACATTGTCTTAGAAAAATCAACCGTTGATTTGTTAATAAAAAAGAATTAAAAGCTTAAATTAATAGATCACTTTGATATGTGCTTTTTAAATGGAGTTTTGTGGATGTATATTTAAGCCACTAATGAACTGTTAGGCCCAAAAGCTTGTTAACAAAGTCATATTTAGACTTGCCACAAGTAGGATTCTTGTTGTTCTCACAAAATAACAACAAACATTTCAAGAACTGAGTGAAAATTAATAGATTATAAATTTAAAAAATACTTTCAGACTTACCCAATAAGTTCTTGAATAGAGGCTGAAAAAATAACATTTTATATAAAGTAAAAAAATTGTACTAAAATATTAATCAAGAAGTTTGATAATTATTTCAGACATTTTATTTACTGGGTTTTATTACTACTCTTTTGTGCAATGTTACTATTTATTTGTGCCACATTGCTTTTTTTATACTTTTTCACTTTTTCACAAAACGAGACTCACCAGCCATCCCCAGTCCTCTACACTGTCTTTTTAAGTCTTTTATACCAGATGCTGGTGATTCTGATCCAGGTGATTCATCTAAATTGGTCTAAAACACAAACAAATGTTGTTATCAGACTATTTACATGTTAGTAAAGTGATAAAACATTAGTAACTTAGACAAAATATACAACAATTTGGAATAATTTTGGCATAAAAACATAATTATCAATAGAAAGACAGGAAGGTAAATGTTGATTGTTTTCAACCATTCCCATGAGATTCAAGAGATAAAACTGGCGGCCATGTTGGAGGAATGAACAATGGATACTAAAGAGAAATCCTTTATTAAGGTTCCTCCAAGATGCCCGCTGTGACGTAACATGGAAGCGAATCATTAAAAAAAAAAAACTATTTTGTTTAGTATCATTAGTGCTGAATGTGATTCAAGTGAGACAAAATGGTGATGGATTAATAAAATGGAGCTGAAGAAGTCATACACCTCATTGAAAAAAAAAATGTTTAAAGGTGATTTCATCCAAACTAAGACCAGACAGGACCATGGGAAGGCATATAATTCGTAGCTATTGTAGTATAGTAGGTAGTGTTTTATCTCCAAGGAACTGTTCGAGCTAAATGATGATGACTTCCTCTATGAGAAACACTAATGAATCACATCCAGACAAAAACAATTCAAGTTTCAGAGTACAAAAAAAATCCCCTGTGGTGTTATATTAAATGATGTTTGAGCCTAAAATGAATGCTTTATAAATTGAGTGTATGTATAAACAAGTTGATTTAAGAAGTATATATTTCAAAATATATCCTCATCTGGGATACTTTTAATTTTTAAATTATTTCTATACTGCTTCAACCCTCCCTTCTCCTCCCCTGAGAGTCTGATCACAGGCTAGTCATGTGCCTCGGTCTCTGACAGGTGGTTATGTTAGATGTATAATTTTCCAAGTCATGCTAACTTATAATCCTTCAAGGCAGTGAGATCTTAGATACAAAAAGTTGTGAGACATGTTATATTATGTTATATTTGATGTTAAGTTTAGCCTTGAATGTTTCTAGTTTTTCACAGCCTCTTTTTTGTTACACAACAGTCAGTGTCAGTGCTTAGGAAAGGTGAAAAAGAATAACACAATTGAAAGTAAATTAAGCAACAAAGTTCGCTCTGTTATTGTTTATCTCTTATTTCTTATAAAAACTGAAGAATATGTTACTACATATACTGAATGTAAGAGAAAACATCACCAGGATCCATTTCATCAAGATCATTCTACAAGAAAACTTAAAACCCAAACTAGTCATACACGCAAAGTGAAAAAGTTACCTGATAGACAATATTTTGCTCTTGATCATTTGATCTGTACAGCACGACTTTAAGCCAAAAACAAATAAATAGGAGAATCAAACATAAAAATGAATAAATATTAAATAATGAAATTTCTTTTTTTTTTTTTTGAACTTTGGACTTTTTGATTTTTTTGATAATGAAAAAACTATATGTTAAATATTCTATTTTTTTCTCCATTACATCAGTTTCTTGATTTTGCATTAACATAAGAAAGGTCTATTAAAACTTTGGCAGATATTTCTAATGTCAAAATGTAGCCAGAAATCTTTAGAAGAATTATAATAACAATATATGTAAGACATTAATTAATTTGAAACTCATCTGACCCATGTATTTTTGGGTTAAAGCAGGATTTAATTATATATTAAAAAAGTAATTCAGAGCAGAATATTAGTTCTGTGACTTTATGATTTGGCAATCTCTGATTTGAGTATTTTAATGCAAATGCAAAATGTTTTATGGCTAACAGCTGTTAATAGTGTGAATGATTCAATTGTGTGAATCTATCATATAAAGATATATTTTTCCTGATAACACTGAAAAAAAAAATAGCTACCTATTTGATGAAAAATAAGTTTTCAAAGGACAGAAACTGTACAAACCAAAGAGATAGGATTCAACCAGCCAAGTTCCAAGAACTGATAGTCCTTCATCAACACATTAATTCCTCACCATACAAAATACTGTAATATCTATGTAGTCGGTGCAAAAACACAACACCACTCTTTTGTCTAGGTACTTCTATGTGCATACATAAGATGACTTAGGCACCAGTACAGAAAAGAACAATTAAAAAAAAAAATGAAAGTTCAATAAACAAAACACAATCAAACTTCCAAATAAACACAAGTACCTCATGTTTAAAGAATAATTTTAGTGTTCACATTGAATCTGAAAAGWRGTAGTAATTACTGTTTGCTTTAGAGTGGGTTTAATTGAAGTATGGCCACCCTTAACTAACAACAAATGACAATTTTTCAAAAATAGAAATTGAGAGGAAATTGATGTGTAAGAAAAGAGGAATTTTTCAGCTGTACTTATTAGACTATTGATTGAATGGGCAAACTTCCAGCTTAAGGACAGCTCGCACTCKCAAATACTAATTGAAAACTGAAAATACAAGAAATAAGTATAGTTGTTTGACAATATAACTGTATTAAATATAAACTATATACATGTATAATACATAAAATACAAATTATGAAATAAGAAATATTAAACATGGTCTTTAAATACATATTGTTTTAAATGTGTTCTCTTCTGTCTTAGTTCACAAAAGTTTTCAATATTTGATGACTGGCATAATGTCCATTTGACTGTAGCATCTGGATACCATTTCTAAACTTTCAGTCCAATTATTTAAGAATTCATGGATGCTTTTGAATTCAAACTAAAGAGTGCCATCATATTAAAACCAAGGGCCATTTTGTTTAGATCATGAGCACCTTTTGTAAAGAAACTACAGTGCTGCAATTATAAAGAAAAGAAAGTTCAGAGAAATAGTTAATTAACGGAGAAAAACTTCTCAAAGGTCTTTAATTAGTTTTCAATTATTTTTTGGTCCAATGTCAAATGTATTTGACACTTTACTACAGACAAGTACAAGCAGTAATGACATGAATAAAAAATTCATATCCTTTGATAATAGGAAAATGATTTAATAAAATGCTTTTTTTTATTTTAGAAATTTCTTATACTAGAGCCAAACCTAGCTAGTTGTACATGTCTATCTGAGCTTCTAGAGGTGAAAAATTTACAACACATAGGTTGCCTGTTACGTACTTTACAGTTGCTTTACATCTTCCAAGGAAAAGAAAACAGAACAGTTAGTTCTAGCAGTCTATCTCATACAAAACAGTGCTTTTAGTCCTTAAGGGAGCTTATAGTTAACAAAAAAAAGTTGTGGTGGTATAATTGTTTCAGTATCCACCTGTAACAGTATTGTATTGCAAATRTGAGAGTAGAAAATAAGAAAAGCAACTAATAATCCTCAAATTATTGTTTTTCATTTTTCTCACTCATATACTTTATATAGTTAACATTTGTTATATTAAGCCTTCTTGGATTGGCTGAGAACCGTTTGTTATTGAAGTATACACTCATTACAAACTTACAAAAGCTCTGATTGGTCAGAACCAGTGTGCTCTGTCTGTAGTCTTTTTACTCAGAAAAACATAGAGGAAAAAATCATATAAAACAACTTTTTCTTTCATCTCAAATTGAGGTCATCTGTGCATTGATTATAATTTGGACACAAAAAATGGAACCTATCTTTGTTAATGAAACTATTGTGTAATAGCAATATTTTGCATTGTAAAATAAACAATAGAGAGCTGTCAATCATAGGTTAAGAAACCTTTTCTAAAACTGTGTATATTATACATTTAAAACAATAGGTTGATCAATATGAAAGCAAACAACATGAAGGTAATCGATAGAAAAAATATGTAGAATAGTTACAGAGATGGATCATTTTTTGACAGATTTAGCACAGATACATTCACCAGCTGACTACGTATAGCCATAGATGGATGTATAATAGACAATCATAATTATATAGTTTACAAACTTTAAAGCTGATGTCAAACAGAGTAAACTTAAACCTAGACTATAGTAGCAGACTTCAATTGTTTTCCTTTGTGTTAACTGAACTACAGTAACATGTGCTATAAAAATTTAGTTAGTCTTTCAAAGACTATGAATTTWTATGATCATTCATACAAATTAAAGATGGTTGAAAATCGAAATTTTAATAATTAAATATACCAAACACAAAAATGCTATTAAAAATAGAAATTAATATTTCTRGATAAAACTGTAAAAGTTGGTGAAAATAACTAAAAGATAAAATAAATAAAGTGATGTATTCGTGGACATGAAAGACATGAATGTCCACACATGGCTCAAGTAATGATAGCATGTTGTTTTCCTTTTGAAAATGTGTACAAAATAAACATTAATGCTCTATTTTTCTTTCTTCAGTTCTAATTTTTCCCCTTTATTTATTAAATGTCCTCCTTTGCAGTCCATTAAACTTTTTCATAACTTGTCTAGTTATGCTCTGATTAAAATTAAAATATTCAAAAAAGTATGTGAAGCTGAAAAATATATTTATTGACACAAGAATACAAAAACCAACTGGAAAACAATAAAAGATGGCTTTTGTTTTGCTAAAATTTAATCAAAATTAAAGTTGTTTGAGTCCATTTAAGCTCATCTCTTTAACTAAGGAAATAMAGAATTAGTTGAGGTTAAATGAAAACAAAAAAGCCACAAKGCACTACTTTATAAAACTTACTTTTTTAGTGTTTGTTGATTATTGCTGTATGTCTGTGTGGAGTTGCTTTTTCACTTTAATGTCGTTGTCCAAGAAATGTCATATGAGACTGCAATTTGTTATTTTAATTTGAAATGCAAAGACCAATTGGATGAAGAAGGCTGGTCTAACAAAGAGATAATGTGAACAGAAATGGTCTCTAGGCAACCACTTTAAGATCAAAGAATGTATGGWAAACTTGCTGCCAGAAAAGATGTTAGCTTTTCTCTTCAAAATGTTAATATATATTCTGCCTTATTCTCATAACTATAGCTAACAAAAAAAAAACATTCTTACCAGCTAAAAGAAATACCATAATTATATTTATTAGTTTTTAAAGTTATTTTTCGAAACATTAATTGCTAAATGGATTTTTGATTATTTTTAAACATATAATTCCATCTTGCATCTAATTTGTAGATCATTGTAAAACACATTTTAAAAGTGACCTTTAAAAAAGTTGATTATAATTCTTTAATGCCATTTGATGCACAACGAGAAGTTCTTAAAAGCTTAAAACTAAACCACTATGTAGCCCTTTAAATGAAAGAAAGAGTTTAGTAACTAATTGATTCCCATAAAGCACTTAACTTCTCAAATTGTTTTAAAAGTCTTTTACTCACAGAAAGAGCTAGAAAGAAATTTTCATTTACAACCACATATTATTTTAATAATTATTTTAATTGGCACATGTGACATACAATATAACAGTAATGTTCATAATATGTTTGATAAATTGCAGATATTATATTATCCCTCAAAGTTTGAACTTTTTCAAACAATATGAATATCCTGTTCTTATTCAACACTGAAAAAAAAAATACTTTTTTGTCAAATCAATAAACTTTTGAAGAAATCCCTTGAGTAAAAACCCTAGTGTGATGATTGCATGATATGTTATTTTCTAGAAAGAAACAAAACAACAAAACAACACACACACACCTAAAATAAAAAGAAAAAAAAAATCTAAAAAAGAAAAAAAATCCATATCAAAATGTTGGTGGCAATATTCAGGTATTGTAAGTTTTTTATCCAGCAATATGGATACTACATTAATTAATTAGTTGTTAATTTTGTTTTTGCTAGCATCATACATTTTGCCATCTCAAAATTGTAATAAATCATCAGTTTATTACAACAATAAATTATAACTGTTATCTAAACATAATATTTAACTAAAAGACAATAAGTAACATTAAACAGTGTGCATGGTTTGGTCTAAATATTACATGATTTCAATTTTTTTTTTCTTTTTTTGGAATTACTGGCCGTATTCCCAAATAGATCCATCCAGATACAATGAATGGGTGTGTTGGGAATAAACACTTTCATGTATTTTAATGGAGATTTTATCAAAATCAATTACAGTCAGGATAAAACTAGCTGAAAACATTTTAAAAACTAATTACGAAGGTGTCAGGAAAAGATTGTGGAAGGATTAATTCAGATTAAAGAATTTTTCGATCACAATAGGGCAAATGAAGTGACGAAATTAACTTATGGAGATTGTACTTAACAATTATTATAAATAAAAACATTCTAAAGTCTAAAAGRACAACATATAAACTTTTTGCAATTTGAAATTGAAGGAATTGAGCATTTAAACATAATCTTAAAGTATCTAAAATTTATTTTTTTCTTGTAAAGGAACTTATTTCTATAAAAACAAAATATTGAACTTGTACATTTTGGGAGAGATCAAAATATGATTTTCCTTCGTAAATAAATACCTTTTGTCTTTGGGAAAGTATAATATTACTGTGAGTTGCAGTCTATCAAAATGATTTTAGGATTTATTTAATACTGCTCTAAGCTACTTTCTCCATGTGAAGAAAATTATGCAAAACAGATTGAATCCTTTATATGACCATCAGTCTCTGATAGAAGTTTGCAGACACATTTTGTTATGTTTATCTTAGAGTTAACAAAAGAAGATATCAAGACAAAAAAAACTACTTCTTCCCTTCATTTCCACTTGAATAAAGATCTCATGGAGGGTATAGTKAGTTTACAAAGGAAGTACCACTGTCAGTCAAGACAAAAACTTCCAAACACTTCCTGACATGTTGTCCAAAAAAAACACACTGCATACAGTTTATCAATTCTTTGAAATCATCAATTTGGCAAGAAATTATKAACAATTTTGTGGATCTGGTGTTCATGATGTGGGCTATATATAATGCTGATGAATTAGATAMATGGAAAAAAACTGTTGCACTTAAATTTTAAGGCGTGCTTAATTTAGAGCTTGATGGATGCTCGAATATAACAACTATTAAATTATACTTTTATTTAATTATTACACTTTTAATAGTASTCCCTATAACTCTATTTTTTGTTATATCACTGACAGTTTAAAACGATTATTGCACCTGGACATATATCACGCTGCACTCTTAAAAGTATTAAAATAGCCATATCAGCAACATCAAATTTTAGCATCATTCTGATGAAACTATAAAAAAATACTTGTCAATGAGCTACATCTACTACATATTATAGTTCTTGCTCTTGACTAAATAATTTGAATTTTCAAAGATTATTGGTTTGAAAATACAAAGTGCCATAGTAATAAATATTATAGTTTAGAAAATGTATTACTTCTATTTAGTACTAATAGTTGTATTAAACTGTATAAAACTCACATAGTTCCAGTTCAAACTTGTATTTGCCTTTGTTTGATAGGGAAGATGTATCATAGAGACATAACACAATAACTTGATCAGTGCATAAAATACATTAATTTGTCTTTTTGTTTGTCTATTTTGTAAATTATTATTTGCAGATGAAATAGCGACCTGCTGCAATGACAGACTTTAGAAAATAAAATAAAAAAACATAATGAAAGAGATGTCTCAATTATTAGTAGGTATATTCATAAAAACATAAAACTGCATCACAAAATATTGACTGAGGACAAAATACTGCGAGTAAAAAAAACCCTTGCATGACATTTCAATCTAATCACCTAAAATGTGCCATTAGATTAACTGTAATTAATTCTCTTTGCAAGGCAACAGTATTAGGTGAACTAAGACTTTTCTTCTAAAAGTTGTTTGCAAATTATTTTGCAAAGCTTTATATGGTATTCATAAGATATTGCCTCGGCAACCATTTGGGTTTGCTWGCCAATATAATGCACTATTGATTTAATAAAGAAAACTTCTGCCCCAACATKTCAGTCTCTTCTTGTGATGTTGAGAAGATAGCAAGCTCAGATAACAAGCAAGTGGAAAGTTGCACTCTTTTGCTTCCCACTGTCATATAAGGATGAAAAAGCAATTAAAGGACAATACATCTTTGAAAATCCACTGTCTGATGAGTTTGAAATTGCTACATTAGTGAAGACTGAAAGGGAGCATGTCAAGACAATCAATTACACTAAAATTGTATCCAGCAGTGACTGAGAGCCCTTTTCAATCCACTGGATACTTAGTTAACTTTAAAAACAAATTAATGTGGTAAGGGTTCTTTGGTATCAATCAGGTGCAATAAAGTTCCGAAAAAGAGAGAAAGAAGAAGAAGAAGAAAAAGAAAGAAAAAACAAACAAAAACAAAAACCCTTGGAATAAATTTTATGACCTCATTTCAGTGGAAAGACACCGTGGAGGGGAGGAATACATGTTATAGGTTTGAAATCTAACCAAGCTCTACAAAAGAGCTGTAAAGACCCAGTATATAAAATTGTGCCAATAGAAAACAGCTTGTGAACACCTCCTGTGAACATGGTGTAAGCTTACTATGAAATAAGTTTGCTGATAATATTCCAGACACCTTTCAATTATTTAAATAAAGAGGATCACAWACCTTTTTTGATTGCTTGTTGCAAAGTGGTCCTCTTTCCAGACACTCTTCACTGCAAAACACATGRCCTTCAACTTTGAGGTACACTTCATCATCCACACTTTCTCCACAAGTCTGACAGAGGTGCTTGGAAAATGARCTATCCTTGTCATTTGTCTTGTCGTCATCAAAATCATCACTGTCATCATCATCACTGTCATCATCATCATCTTCACTATCATCTATGTCATCGTCAATGCCTTCGTCATGTTTGTTGATGAAACTTCCTGACTTGTTCATTGTAATTTTTGGCACTTTGAAACTTCTTTGATCCTAAATTGAAACATTTTAATATTTTTAAAATCTACGTGTAATAACAATGTAGTGAAGGCAAAAATAATAAATTCAAAATCTTGTACTTCCTGAAGTTATTGGTCACCCAAGAATACACCAGAAATTACCAATTCCCTTAACTTTGAATTCAAAGATACCAGCAAATCACTTATTAAGTTTTTYTGAAGGCAAGCGAACCTAARGATTTATCCATGCAGTCCTTCCCTTCAACAAGGTATACAAACATTTATTGAATATTTGATTATCATATATTGTGAGCTAAGAGTCCACCATTAAGAGAGTGCATCTACTTTTAGAACTGAATAAGTAACTAAACTTAACATCTATCTCATAAAAAATCATTTATAAACATTGAATTGAACAGACTCTGCTAATGCATGATAACAATGAACACTGTAAGATAATATCAAGATTAAAATCCTACAAAGAAATTCATCATATGGAAGCCAATATAGCTGTTCTAGAASCAATTTCCCACTCACTTTCCATATTTTTTCCCACTTCACTTTTATATTATAATCATTTTCTACCCATCCTTTTCCCAAAATTGTTCTYAGATATTTAAGCTGTAATGTAAATTATGACAAAAAAATGATGATTCAAATAGTAATCTTTTGAAGTTGTGAAAAAAAATTAATTAATAAACCATCATGGGCAAATGTACAATGCACAGAATGAGGTTTTAACAAAACACATCGCAGACAAGTTGTCTCCAAATGTCAAAATCTTAATTTCTAAGCCTTTAAGGATATTATATAATGTTGGCTACAGCCATACTTATACCTGTCTTTTATCCAACATGAACTCAATTCAAAATTCTAATAAACAAAACTTGAAGAAGTTTATTCTTGTTTGACAAGCAGATGGACTTCAAAGGGTTTAATCACAAAATTTGCAATTCATAATACAAGCTACTTAATAGAAAGTTTGTTATAGTTTCAAAACATGTCTTTTGAAGTTCACCTTTTTAATGAGAAAACTACGTAGGTGGTTGCAATTAAAAATTCAGTGCATCATGCCAAAAAGATCATTAAAAGTTACTGTTATGGGATAGCCTAAGGAGATAATAGCACTTAAACTGTAGTCAATATCTAAAGTGATGCATATGTTTTTAAACTGTTGAAAATCATTATTCCAGTAATCAACCCACAACAGGGTATTGAACAGAGAAGCGGCCCCAACCCAGTGGCCGTTGACTTGAAATCAAACTGTTTATTACGAAAATAGTTTATTAAGAGAAAAGCTGGTTGCACATTGCCAGAAAAAACATCACAAGAGGGTTGTTTTTCATCCTAAAGTGATTGTAATATATTGTACAAATATTAAACATCAGTTTTACATTAATGACTCAAAAACTGTGTGAAACATGTTTTAAGATCAAAAACAGTAAACTTTGTAAAACAGAAGCCCACAAATCTTTTGAAATTTGGGAAATTTACAGTATGATTTAACTTTTAACTGAATCTTATCATCTGAAAACCATGTAATTCAAAGTACATTTAAATGTCTTTATAAGGTGCAAGGAGAACAGGTTGTATATTCAATAAATRTATCTYTGGACAAACATCTTAAWTTTTTTTATATATACTTGAAAAAAAAACATTAGAATAGAGAATAATATTCAATTCAACAAGAATAAAGGAAACTTAAGATGATTAACAGGATACATAGCTGGCAAGTGTAAGTATAAGGTTGTCAAACTGCAAAAATAWCACTCTACAAAACTGAACTACCTTTAAATACAGAGGTGAAGCTCTCAATTGAAGCCAAAGTTTGTAGCATGAAGAAAAGACTGAGATAGATCCTTTCAATTAGAAATCATTGTTATATTTATATCTTAAAGGTTGTTGGTGGCAATACGTCTGGTTCACTAGGTAGCCGTGTGGTAGTTCATAGCTGGTTGTTGTTACTGTACAATTCACTTATCTTTGCTTGTAACAAAAGTGCAGATTCTAGCTCCAGACAACACTCCATTAAACTACAAACCACATAAATCATCATATCACAGTCTTGTTTATATAAGAGTAAGTTTACAAAGTTTGATAATTATCTATGAATAAAAATGAAGGAAAATACATTAAAAACTAGAGCAAATATCTAAAACAAATACAATGTTTCAAACTGATTTCAGAAATTGCAAGAATTATAAAATACAGCAAAGGTATTTTTCAAAATGAGTSTTTCTTGAAAACCTTTTAGTGAAATTCAAACAATTATTTATAAATCAATTAGATAATTCTGCTAAAAAAAAACTATTAAAATGATTTATGTAAATCTAAAATTCTACAAAATAAAGTAGAGTTTAGTGCTATTGGGATATTGGTGCATTTTATTTTGGAATATAAGATTAAATGAAAGTACTGAAAGACACGGATAGTAGAAAAAAACTAATCCAAATGTTTTCCCAAGACTGATGTGTCCATTAATACATTTTAATTTACCAATTACTCAACTGGAAGTAAACTTCTAAACAGCAATTAAATGGGATATCATTCAACTACAGTATAGCTTAATCCACAACACTGAATTGTACTTTTTGTGTTTTTATTGACAGTAATAATAGCACATCACTTCACCAAAGCAATATATTGGTAGAATGTAAACAAAATATGTCAAGACCATCTGAATAAACAAATTAAAAGCAAACTACATTTTCTGAAAGTGAGGGAAAGAAGTCTCCATGCAGCCTACACTACAATAACCCCCATTAACAATATAAAATGTCAATATTAAATCTAAATGCACTTAAAGAAGATTTTACTGTGCATTTCAATCAATAAATAATTTATAGTTTCTGATCCTTGCTGTGCTAAACAATGGAGAATTGACTGATTTTTTAAAAGTAAAACAATTTATTTATCATAGAAGCATAATAGCATATTTTCCTAAGTGTCAGCATCAAAATAAAACTCAAAAATGTAAAAAAAAAAAAAAAAATTATTCTGAACTATGAATTGTATATTCCGTTTACTACTAATTTGAGTGAAAGAATACAAGGTTGTGAATATGAAATAATAGTTGCAAGTGATGCCATTATTATCAAACTTAAATAGAAAACTGAATTCAGAACAGCTAGATGAATAARGATCACCAGAGATTTAGCATTCACACGAACAAACTGACCAAACAACACTGATTAAGGAGGATATTGCTAGATGTTTTCTAGATCCTGCAATTAGAAATCTTTTTGTCGCACAGAATAAATACCTTCCAGCCTAGTGCTAATATTTTTAATAAATAAAGAAGTTYGTGTTTTTTTCAGGCAAAGATAGAATGATTGGAAGAGAATAATGATGTCAGTAAGTGCTTAAGGCAACATTTTAAGCTGCCTGTCATCTGCTGTACCATCACCATTTAATCTCGAAAAAATCCTAATTTGAAAGATTATTATTAATAATAGCTATTAACTATAAATATACTAATAACATGTAGCAGCTGCACAGAGATTGAAGTTTTTTAATTCAAATTCTAATATTACGGAGAGTAAGAATAATAACAAAGCTTGTTTCCTTGTAAAACTGCCACAACATGAAAAAGGTTTGATGAACAGAATTTTACAATATAATCATTTCAAAAATAGCCTTGTATGTCAAATGTTGACACTGTAAATACTTTCTATCCATTTTAAACATCACATAAGTGGGTGAAGTAAATGGCACCAAAACTGTAATAAAATACAACTAAATTTTACAAGCTGTCTGTCAACCAATGTGAAACTCAGAAAGTAATGTAAAATACTAAGTACATGGCAGGATCTAGTTCATGATGATAATGCTTGTGGTTTACCATCAAGAGACAAATATGAACTAGTGTATGAATTAATTTTTTGGCACCAGGCAATGAAAACTGGGGTAAATTCCATTCTTAAACATCAAAGACAAGGAAATGAGCATGGAAAAAACCTCCAGATTTCATCATCAACTGATTTGTGCCAAAAACGTCTTTCAAATGAACCCAAAAATTGTATTCTATAAACTAAGAGCCTGAATTAATTATACATTTATATTATGCCTTCATTAAGTCAGAAAGCAAATTCTTTAAGGGAAGAAGGCTCATAGCCAAGGACAACCAAAAGATTACAAGTCAAAGAAAGAACATTAAAACAAGAGTAACATTGAAGCATTTGGACGAATAGCCATGGGCAGTTCAATCACTATGTGGTTTTAGATTGTTTTGAAGGAACAAAGTTCTTTGGGTTGTGAGATCTTGATGGATGATAAGCATTGAACCAGCTGGTCTGCTTTTGTGAAAATTAAAATGCAAAAGAATCTTTACATTCAAAGTTGAAAAAAGAAAACTGCTCTTTTCCCTAAAACTCTTCCACTAGTAACAAATAACTTTAGTAGAAACAGAATAGTTTTGGCAAACGAATTGAAGAATTCCCAACTGAAAAACACCAAGAAATATAAAAATTCATTTTTTCACTTCATAGTTCTTTGATCACTAACACCTGGAAGGACTCCACTTACTATGATGCATCAAAGACTTAATTCCTGATTCTTCCAGACTGTAGTAACATATTTTTACCACAACTCAACATTATTGATAAACTTTTGAGTAAAAGGGAAAACTCTACTTTAATGAAATTGTTTTAAGTATATTTTGCTCACAGTCAAAGCCAAACTCACATGAATAAATATAAGGGGTTTGGCATTTTTTCTGAAAATTACCTTATTATTCAAGCATTTTTAAAAGGATGAATTCCTATTGTTTCCAGAGCTTTTATTGCCATCAGATCTCTTTAATATAATTTTTGATTTGGAAAATTTCCCATCTACAATTCAGGAATTTCTTGATCATAATTAACACAGTAAAAAAATATCTCTGGTGGTTTGAGTGAATTTTCCAAGTGGAACTTAAAAAATTCAAATCTCCAAAGAGACAGACATCTGTCCTGGAACATACTCCAATTCTCTACACTTATTCATATCTTTGACACCCAAAAATTATTTGATTTCCATAAGGTTTGAAGCAAATATCTGATCAAAATCCACATGTAAGCGAACGCTGATGAGCACAGGAATTCTATTAGAAAACTTGTCTCTCATCCGGAGACAGATGAAATTCTTTGCCTGAAAAGTCCTCTCGTTATTCAAAATAAGAACCTGTACAAGACATAACTGTGGCCCAAATTTATGCGCTTCGATTTGAATTTCTAGTGTTTTTCTAGCGCAGATAACAAGTTTAGTCCAACAGAGTGAAATAAAGCGAAAGTTTTCATGTGTGAACAAGTTTTTTAAATGTGACGTAGCAATAAACTTTTTGCTTTACAAACAGCACGCAATTTACATACAGTGTAAGTTGCATTGTTAATTCTATGTTGTCTCTTTGCTGTTGATCTCAACCTTCAGCACATATCAGGAAACTAACCTTTGAAGTTACGAATCAAAGCGAAACTTTTCGAAACTTTGATTCGTCGACTTTGCCCACCGACCCCATACCTTAGGTACATAGTATGATTAATTTTAACACAACAGAGGAGAACTTTTTCCAACTCCAAGAGAATGAATGGCAAAAATTATGCAAATTAGTTCACCTCGCTTGGCTTAGTGCGAAAAAGTTTCTAATTCTTTCCGTGAACCGATAGCTATCAACGTTTYCTRAAAGTTACCCGCAAAGACCTGGCGCAGAGGCTCCAAAAATTTCCTCTCACTTTAGAAGCGAAATAAACTTGGATGTTTTTGAAAATATTCAACATTTTGACTTTCCGTATTGTAAGTTTTCAAGAGCAGGCGAGAGTAAAAACATGATCAAAACACGACTCACTCTCAACCGTATCGAATTGCACTACTCGCGTAACAAATAAATTACAAGTTGCAGAATTTTAAAATTACGRCGATGTAAACACCAGAAAGTTTACACACAGTTTGAAAAATATTCCAAGGATATTACTTACAATTTCACAGTCTTCCATTTGTCTTTTAAGTCGTAGTTCTTTAGAATATTGCGAGTCTAAAACACGAATTTCCCCAACAAGGCTGTCCATCCTGGCAGTTCATTCAAAACCCAAACTTGCTTGAAATTTGCCCTTTGGCAGGCCAGGAGAAATTTAACACTCTGTTGCTGAAAATTCTGGAAATAAATTCAAAAAGATACTAGTAAATATCAGGGAAAGTAAAAATGAAACTATAAATATTTCCCAATTAGATTAGAAAAATTACAAGCAAAAAAACAATATTAAATTTGATATGTGAAAGATATTTTTCCAAGCGCGCACAAGTCCAAATAAAACTTTGCTTTGAAAATTGAACATTCCATTTACTTACAAGTGAAACTACAAACGGCAAAAATATATAAGAAACAGCAGTAAAAAAATCCTTTAACATATCTGGCTACGTAAAGAGCTTACTTAGCTAAATCTTTTGTAATTCAAAGTCGATTCTTTGGTTAAATGACGAAGACACGATGAAAGTTTCGATAATTTGGAGCTCTGCGAGAATTTTGAGTCTACGCGCTGTCGAACGTTGGTCCACGGCGTCACGAACGCTCGAAGTTCAGTTCAATCTCTACTACTATTCTTTGAGTCTAACAGCAGTTAAACATTTACATGGATTTTTACAGCTATTTAAATACATCATCAGATGGCTGGCATAAATTTAGAACTGCTTGAAGTCGGGAAAGAATAAAAACAACGCTTTCACGTCCACATACGTACTCTCGCTGCCTTATCTCTGAAAATTCTCTAGTTTTTCCGAGGATGAATTCTAGTAATAGATTCGCGTATGTCCGCTTACTACTTAGTGAGAGTTCCCCTTCACGGTTTGTTTCTCTTCGTCCGCTCACATGCTAGCGATTTGCATACGAAACTTTTTGTGTCACCGCAAGAAGTCATTCCTGTTAAGAATGTTACTCGAATCGAGTGTTTGACGCTCAAAAAAGAGAGCAATTTTACATAAAACTAACCTTACTAATTAGTATTAGAAACTCCAGTGGTTCTTGGAGCTGTTTCTGGGAATTTTCGGGCACGGAATAATTTTCTTCAGTTGTTTTTACATACCTCGCGTCAGATTTCTGACTCGCCACTCGAAATAATTACAACAAAGGGAAAAGTTCGGAAACAAAACTCTCCCAGCATGCGTAGCGCGTATTAGCCCCCTCTGGTTATTTTCTTATTAAAAATTAATAAAAAGTAAAAATATCAATATCAAAAAGTCTTTTGAGTTTGGAAAATCAAGTCTTTCAAATCTATTCAAAGGGTGGCATGACTTTTAGCGGAAAGAAAAGACTTTTCGGAGGCTGCTTTCAATTCAATGGGGGTCGTATGGGGAGTTTTGATACTAGAGGATTGGTTGATCAGATGTGAGTGGATTGCTGTTGTAGTGTTGATAGTGAATTTTTAATCAACAGCAAATAACATGGAAAACACTTGCCCTTCAAACTTACAATCATATTCCCATCCGTCTTAAACCACAATAGAAAAATAGAAAATTTTGCACTGAACTACAAAAGTGAAAGAGTAATTTGAATACAAAATGAAGACCATTTCAAAGTGAAACTTTTCAGTTTTGAGAGTTCGTTTCATATCTTGCCTAATCAGTCTTAGTACAAATACCTCGGTCCGTGATTCGCTGAAAACATCCACCGGTTAATCGACAAGAYTTTTATTTTTCAAAGTTGGTTTGGTCTATACCAAGCAGTGGACTCATTAGTTGTGTTTTGATCATATTTTGAATTTAAATCGAATCAAACAAAGGGGAATTCTGTGAACAATAAAGCCAACAGCAGTTAGTGTGTTTAATAATTTGATTCCACAGAATACACGACTTTGGAAACAATGAATGAACCAAAGCGACAAGAAAGCAAGCAACCATTTCAAACAGCGACACAACAACAAAACGTCGCCTGTTCAATTCAAAACCAAAACAGCAAGCGCGAAAGCCAATACATAAATGTTTCTTCGATCGAGAAAAGCTTATTTAGAACCTAAGTGAAGAATACCGTAGTATAATAGAAGTATTTGATACGACAGCTGGAGTGAGTCAGTGTTGACACGGTAAAGAAAGAAAATAAAACTACAATCGACAGACTTTAGAAAAATGTCGCAAAGGACACACGCAAAATTAYCACAACAACTTTCAGGTGTTTTTAGAAGAAGTACGAAAAAATTAAGAAAAAAACTTTTTGTGACACTTACTAGTTAAAATAATTACATACTGTGCCACCTCATATATTACTTATATTCAAGTCTATTGAAATTCCGAAGATACGCCATATCAAAAGCTTTAATTTGAGAAATAACCCCAGCAAGGCATTGCAGCAATTTACGAATTATAAGTTTATGACACAAGAAGATTAAACAGGAGTCAAATTCAGCGCGAAAGAAAATGAAGATAACAATTTTCCGTCGTGAATTGTAAAATATTAAAGAAAAGAGTTCGAGAAGAGTGAAGGAACTTGCGCGCCTTGCGGGTTGACCGAATCMAGCTACCAATGAATACCCAAGAATATTGGTAATTATGGAAGTGTTATTATCTGTACAGGAAGCGAGCAGATTATTTTAAACATAAAAGAGGAGTTTTATCTTGAATTACGCAAAAAACACGGAGACATTTTCAATACTCGGCGCTAGCTCTGTTTTAAGTGTATTTTCTGAGAGCAAAGTGACTTTAGAGCGCCGTGTGACGTTGTAAGTGCATGTTTCAATATCCAAACTCGAGTCTTGCCATCTGCTTTGTCCGCAGAACAACGCAACGAGAAAATAACTAATGAATTAAGACGAAAACCAATTAAGAAATTTGTCTCGGTAAACATAACACGGTAAAGTTAATTATTTCAAAGAAAAACTRATGTTTTCACGGCTTTTGCATACTTTGAATTTTCTGCTTCCGTCTTTTCCGAAAATCTCGCAGTCACAAGAAATGGACTTTCATAAGTTTGTGCAGAAGAACGGATGGTTTTTATTCCTCTATAAATAATGAAGAACTTACGATGAGCCATTAATAAAGTGGGCATGTTGTGTTGACACTAAAATGTATCAACTGAGCGTAAACATTACTAGTTTTCTGTGCGAACAAATCAACAGACGACACTAGTGATTAGAGCTCGCTTCACAACACACTCACATGGGCCTCACATGAAGTCACACCCTTATTGGACAACTTCAAAAACCAAATCTAGTACTGTTATGCAGCAACTAAACACTGTTTAAACAACAACAACAACGTGATATATTACAACAACTCCATTTCAAGAGAAGTATATTTCGCCTTTTTTAAGAACTACATCTAACGCATAGAACTAGTGCACAATGCTGATAAACAACTTAACTAAATTCAATTACACCAAATAAACTGCTATATAAACTGGAACAACTAAATCTACTCAAAAACAACAATAAGTCTTAATCTAAACAATTTAATGAACTACGTTTGTTGCAACAACTGCATAAATCGCAACGACAATAAATTATACTGCAAACATTGCTAAATCCTAAATACAGTATATACCCATAAATATTGTACTCGATCAAAAACAATGGCAGCTTTTCAAATAAAGGGACTGCAACCGCTAAACAGTTAAAGCAATCTCAAAATCTACTACCGCAACAACTGAATCAAGTAAATAAACTTTACTCTTTACTCATAGTGCAAGAGCTAAAAACGACAACTTTGACGGGTGATGGGTGCATCGGATTAGCTACAAGCATTAAAAAAAAACATCATAAAATACTACTAGCTTCAACTGCTAAATCTGAATTGAAACGATTATATCTTTTCGGTCACAAAACCAGAAACTGCTTTGGAATAATTATCATTGCTTAACGATTACAAATACAATCGTTTTACAACTAGCAGTTACGTAAGGGCACTTAGCAAGTGAAAATGATTCTTTAACGTCGTACTTAACATGAGTGATTTCAATTTGTGACTCATTTAAAAGAATTTTGGTGCGACGACGTTTTTACTTTTTTTTACTTTTTTAAAAAGTCAAAKGTATCATTCTTGAACTTACAGTTTCAATTCGTAGCTTCAAACTGACTTTTCAGGAACGACATYTATGACGACTGAACTAAATTATTTGGCTGGTTCTCAATACGACGTTTGACTTAAGTCTCAAAGGCTATCTGTTTCAGAAACTAATTGCCACCATATCATTGTATAGATCCTTSGTCAAACGGTCGTGGTCGACAACAGCTAAAACGTGCGTTCCCGCCTTTTACTATTCAACTTTCATTCAATTGGACTTTAAATTCTCATGATAGTGTGACAATTAGGGAGGCTTTGGGGACCGCACAAAACGGTCGAAGATGTGACGAATTTCATTAAAACCAATCAAAAGAAAATCTTCTCGTATCGACCGTTTGGAAGTCTCTACGACTCTACGAAGTGGCATAAGTGTTTAATAAAGTTCCAGCTATGATGTCAAGATATATTATATAAGGGTACAGCTACTATCTATAGAAATAATAGAGAAAGAAGAAAAAGATAGTGAAGTGGCTTATCACGAACAAATATTGTGCAAAAGCAAGACGATAATTAGATTAAATTCAGTGAATGTGTATTGTTTACTCTTATAGGACTTTTATAAATAATAATAAAAAAACAACTATGACCACTTACTGGTCCTTAATACTATAATGTACTATTGCTACTGAAACTCCAGCTGACTGCTGCATGCTTCGTGTCCTTGGGCTGCAAACCACACAAACAAGAATGTGAGGAAAAAAAAGAACAAGAYCAAAGCTGTTGTCATGTTAGATGAATGAATAAGAGAAAGGCTAATGACGTTATTTTCATCATGGCGGCCACGACGTAATGCAACCCGAGAATTACCTTCCTTCCTTCCTTCGTTTTATACACTAACTTTTCTTACTACTGATTCTATTACCATTAGCTGCTCTGCTACTGTTGTTGCTGCATAACACAGTGGAAGACATCTGCCTTAAGGAACTTATCCGCTGGAAAATTCTGCAATAAAGCAGTGTTCGTGATATCGAGGTGTTCGTAACGAGGAAAGTCCATGATATAAAGTACTTGTCTGCAAAGAACACATTTTTATTGACACGACCTACGAAAAGTGCTTTCCATAAAAATATAYAGATGTAAGCGAGTACCACTTCACCAGATACTGAC